TGATGAAATTTTTGATATTACTAAAGTGGATGGAACATGGTTATCTATCTGGTCAAGCGGCCAGTAAAGAAATGATCCATCCCTCTAAAAGAAAAAAACTTTCTAATGAGTCATCCAACTCATCATCTTACTATCTTGGTTTTAGTGACTCTGACTGAGGCTGACGACAGTGAATATGAAAACAATAAAGAAGAAGGTGAGACAACTCCTACACCAAGCAGAAAACATCATAAAAGCAAAGTTGTAGTCAACTTGGTAACCTCCACAAGAGTATCAACGAAACAAAGTTGCCAACATATGCAAACAATTCACTTGTGAAGGCATTGACATCCCAATTCCATGTCAATCAGCTATTTACAAGACAACAATCAAAGAGGCAATCAAGATAAAGGAAAAGATGATTGAAAAGTTGCATATGGAAAGTTGGTCCTTACACTTTGATGGCAAGCACATCAACAGAATGGATTATCAAGTGGTCGTCTTTAAAAATGAAAGAAGAGAAATCAAATTGGATGTCTTGGCTTAGTAAATGGCTGGGCTTTAACTCTTGCTCAAGAAATTTCTAAAGTCTTTGATGAATTTCACCTATGGAATTCAATTCGATTATTGCAGATACCACCAGTGTTAACACTGGAAAAAAGAATGGTGTTGTTGTAATATTGCAACGAATGTTTACAGAGAAGCGCATCAACAAATCTCAGTTTATCAGTTGTCAACACCATGTGTTAGATAGAATCATCTGTTTGGTGATGGATGAAAAACTTGGAAGTAAAACACAATCGAAAAACATTGAATACTCATTTGCATGTTAACTGTTGAAGGAGTACGAACAACTGAAAATGCGACGTGGAACTTCAGAGCTATATTAGCGATCCTGGCCTTCATTTTAATTTCTTCAACAAGGAAAGTTCTGAAGAGAGTCGATGTCGATTTATATTGTATGGCTGGACAGACTATTGGTTTACAGACCAACTGTACAAGGAAAAGGAATTTAATAACTTTGAATCCATAAAAAGGCTTTAAGCTCTTTGAAACATTACAAGAAGCGAGAGCCATCCATACTACAGAAACCCAGAAGCAGAGCGCGCAATCAAAGTAATGGAGAAAATTTATTCATCATGCAAAAACAAAGACAAATTGCACCTTCAATTCCTTCTGTGCCACAAGCAAGAGCAAGGTCAACGGTCTGAGTCATTGTTGGATTGAAAATTTATTGTATTACATGACTATGACATTCTAAATATATTTGAATACTTAGTAGTATTTATGTCAAATTTCAATGGCGGGGTGAACTTTTTTGAAATGATATGCAAATAGTAGTTCATTTTGAAATAAAAAAAGCTTAAATTAGGAAGAATAATTCTTAATTCTAGAATTTATTCGTCCAAATAATTTCTTGAAATCTTCCTATTACAAGTTTTTTCATTTCTTTTCTTGTTTTAAGAAATAAATATCCTACACTACAGACAAGAAATTAGAAACTTGTTTTAAATTTTTTTTTCGTGAATTAACAATTTTTTTTCTTTTATTAAGAAGTTAGTATTTCTTTTTTATTTTAAGAATATAGGAAGTATAGGAACTTTTTTTTTGTTTAAGAAAATAAGTTCCTATACTTCGGACAAGAAATAGTATTCTTGTTTTAAGTTTTTTTTTTTTCTAAATTCAAAATTTACGATTTTGCTGGGTATAAATGACAAATCATGCTAGCGCATAGTGGTGAAAAACCTAAAAAACCTTGGCCATAATTCAAAATTTTTCAAAACATTATATAATTAATTTTTTATTTTTTTTAAATGTAGTATACTGCTTATATTATCTAAAAATATATATATAGGTTTGTTATTTATGTTTATTAACAGGACCGCTACACGGATTTAAAAGACGTTATTTTTGTGATAAATTTTCTTTAAAAAAGTGCAGAAGTTATAATTTCAACTTTTTTTTTTTAATTTCATAAAATAGTTTTTTTTTGTCAGTATGTTTAAGATATCTTAACTTCTACGTCAAAAAGATTTCAGTTACTCAAAGTGAAAAAAAACTTTCAAAAATTACTATAAAAAAATGCAAAAAAGTGCAACTTTTTGTAATTTTAAATTCGCTGTTCGTTTAAACGAGATCCTTCTCAAGCTAATCTAACTCAATCTTTATTAAATTCTAGTTATGGTTCTAGTTCTTTATAACACCTCATAAAAAAATTCAGCTGCATATATTCATGCATTATGATAAATTTTTAACTACTAAGACTTTTTTTTTGTTCTAATATTCTCAGTGTTTATAATTTGTATAAAATAAATATAAATGCGAAAAATCTAAAATTTTTTATAAATACCAATAATTGAGTCATGTTGCTAGGTTAAAAAAATTTTAATTTTTTATTTTCAATGATTTCATACGTTCTTATTTTAATTGTGAAATTTTTGAAAAAAAGCATTTTTTCATGTATTATATTTATACCGCCCGAGGGGGTAGAAGCATTTTTTATTTTATTTTCTTATACTACATATGGTATATGACACTCAAACTATTAAGTTTTTTAGTTTTATAACAATTTTAAAGTTAATTACTTTTGATGCATTTGGAGATGGTTAACTACAATCCTTTGAGTACTATTGGAATCGCTTTATTTATTTCCATAGAAACGAATTTTCTACCTTAATCAGTTATACAAAAAATATAATATGAATAAGATTATGGTGCAAAGACAATAATAATATTTATCAATTTATATTAAAATAACATTTATCAAAATATTAACTTACTTAAAATTACTATGTTAGTTAATTAATATTATTCTTAATAGTATATACTCAGGCAACATCACTATTTATCAAGTCTATTATTTAAATCTTGTAAAATAATCCACTAAAAAAAGCACGTTCTTTTTCGTCATGCCTTTTCTTCTTTATTGATCTCTTCTTCTTCGTCTGCATCTTCTTCCTTGTTTGTCTTTTTTTCTTTATCACTCTCTTCTTCAACCAAGTTTTTCTTCCAAGTTTTGTTACTTCCAAATCACTTTGCATGGTTAAATTTACTTTTTTGGTATAAATTTTTTGTTTTGTTCGAAAAAAAAAGAAGAAAAAATATTACCATAAGATCAAACACATCTCCTTATAAGCGACAATTTAAGTAGTGAGATGCTGTTGTATGATCAAATGCTTGAAATTAGCGTAGAGCAAGATACAGTATTTTGGTGGAAAATGAATAGTGTTGCACTACCTCAATCATCACAATTGTTCAAAAAAAATCTTTGTATTGCGGTATCAAGTTGTTTATGAAAAAGAATATTTAGTTATAAAGGATTAATTGTAAACCCAAAACGTTCAAGACTGAGTCAAGAAAATGTTGATAGTTGAAACGAAATGTTAAAAATGTTGTTTCTTTCTGAAAATATGAAAAAATCAAAAAATGATACTGTTTTTATAAAATAATATAAAAACATAAAATAAAGATAATATATAAAACACATATATAAAAATTGTGGCTATAAGATGATTTTAAAAGCTGTCTTATATTTTTTTCTCAACCCCAATTAATTTAGCATAACCGTTAATTTAGAATAGATGTTCTCCATTAAGAGGCTGACATTTTTAAAAATATAAATGCATATTAACCAAGTCTTACTGATTAACAATTTGTATAAGTATTAAGTTTATGAAATTTTTTTTCAATTAAATTTTTTTCTTGAAACTAAATATAGTAAAGTATTTAAAGATGAATAAAATTAAATTTTTTTCTTGAAACTAAATATAGTATAGTACCTAAAGATGAATTAATGATTCCAGCCCATAGGCGTTTAATTTTAGCGACTAGCCCACAGCCTTTTTTTGAAAAGAATAATTCAATTTTACAATTTTTTGGCCTTAAAATAAGAACTAAAATTTTTATGAAAAAACTGCTTCATATCTTTTTTGATGGCATTATTACCGTCATTTAAAGCCTAATTTGTATAAAACCAGAAGCAGTTGTAAAAAATAAAAATGCTTTACAGGAAAAGCCCCATTTTGACCCTTAAATATTAAACAGGGTCCCTAATATTATAGAAAAATAATTTCTTTAAAGGTATGTCATGTTGGGTCTCAAAAGAAGCTATTTTTTTAATAAAAATTTCAAAAATAATATTTATTTTGTATTTAGCTTTTTAACTTACATTTTAAAATAATGGGTAAAAAATGCCGTTTTTTTATAATTATTAAAAAAATCAAATTCTTTCACGGTTTTTTCAAGTCAATTTTTTTAAAGACGTTTTTATAAAATATAATTATTATTTTTAAACTTTTATAAAATTTCGGTTCTTTTGAGACCCAACATGGAATACCTTTAAAAAAGTTTTTTTATAATATTAGGGACCTGTCTGATGTGTAAGAGTAAAAATGGGGCGGTTCCTCATGTCTCTTATTACCATTTTTATTATTTTTTGTTCATTTACAGGTAGACACGGCAAAATATTCATTGATAGACCAAACTTTTATTCTCACCCCAACCTACTATGCATGGTTACGCTCGAGTCCTTAATAAAAGGTGAAAATCAATGAAAATTGGTCTTTAAAGTTAGAAAATAATTATTTCAGTCACTAATAAAAACAGAAACAATATTAGATCTGGACTAAAATTCCCTATATACATAATAAAAACAGAAACAATATTAGATATGGACTAAAATTCCCTCTCCTTTTATGGACTAAAATTCCCCACTCCAATTATATACTAAAATCCCCCCCCCACCTACCTATATATAACCTACCTATATATATACTAAACCTACCTATATATATACCACCTACCTATATATATACTAAAATCCTCCCCCCCCCCACCTACCTATCTTTGTATTACAGACTCCAAAGATAGACAGAGTTCAATTTGGTTTGTGGTCAGTATAGCTCTTCCTTCATTTTGGTACCGATTACCAAGTTTTTTGATTGGTATTGGTACCGAATACTGGAGTTTTAGTACCGTGACAACACTAGTCCAAACAATTTCTGACGATTTATTTGCTTGTGAAACTCTAGCTTTAAATATGCGCGCTTTGACTTAAATAATTTCCCATAATGCATAGTACCAGTCGTAGGTGAAGGAGAAGGACTGCTCATGCTAAAATATGGCGGTAGGAGGCATTAAATTTTCTCATTTTTTAACAAAATTTAATATTCTTAACGGATATATTTGAAAATTTTAATTTAATCTTCTCTGTTGTTATAATTTCTCTTGTTCTGCAGTATTAATTCATTTTCAAATAATGTAGCAAAAGTAAAAACTTACCTTGAATAACTTTTCTTTTTCATAAATTCAATTACCTAAGTACCTTTTTTGTGTTAAAATGTTACATGTTGTAATAAGTGATTTGAAATATAAAAAGTATTTTAAATTTACATTGTAAGTTTCTAAATTTTTACATGACTTAATATAAATTATCAAAAAAAGCAAATTCTATTATTTAAAATTTATTATTTGAGCTAAATCATTAGAATTGATTCCTATATGTATCGGAATCTACTCCATGATTTACAATACTATTAGTCTACCTTATGACATAATAAAGGTAATAGCTAGATAGCATTAAATAATTTACAGTAGTGCTGGTAAGAATAACTTTGTTGCGCTTTATACTTACGATTTTGACAAAATAAGTATACGAAACTGCATATTTATGAAGCCAATAACTTGTAGTAAATATTTAATTTCTTTTTTTTTTGTTAGCAAATTTGTCGGAATTTAAGAACAAAAATGCAATTTTTAAAATTTTTTAAAGGTTTTATTTCAATTTAAATCCAATAAAATGCTAATTAATGCAGTTTTTGACCATGTATATCCGTTTTTATAAGGGTTATGATTAAGATCTTAATGTCAACTAATAATCAAAGGTCAGGAAATCAAGCTAAAGTATTATTTTAATAATGCTGGCCTTGCTAAAACTTGTCCACTTGCTAAACTTGTCCACTGTATATTGATTTGTGTTCATCTGTACATTTTAGTTGATTTAAAATTACTTTCTATTTATTACAATACACTTGCATGCCATTTTTAAAACTTCAAATTATTATTTAAACTTCAATTATTATTTTTTTATTTGATCCCAAATCAACACAAAATTTACTAACTTACAAATAATTAAAAATATTTTTTGATATTAAAGTGTAAATCAATAAATTAGCATAAAATATAGTTGTGGTTTTAAAAAGTTTTAAAATTCTTCCAAAAGTAAAAATCAATGTCAAAAACTTGTATATAATGTTCAATACATTAGTGTTAGAATTTTGTATAATAAACATGCATACATCTCTTATATAAATTAGAATCATCAATATCTTATAATTATAAGCATACTTATGCAGTATTATTTTAATTTGATTTTTAAAAATCAGGGAATAATCAGAAAATATTTGGTTGAGTTTTGAAAAAATTAGGCAAAATTTCTTTTCATCAATCTTATGTAATTTACATCAAACTTAAAAAAGTCATATAATGTATACATAATATAAAATTTTGTTTGGTGGCTTCTTTTGGTACTTTCAGTATGCATTGTAATAATGTTTATATTTTGCAATTGAAGAGCGTTTTTCTAAAAGAATTTTTTCTGAAATTTACATTTTTTTCAACATTTTGGCTTTAACAAAATCTTTCCATATTACTCAAGCTAGTTAATCTTTAAAAAATATCTTATAATAATCATAAAAAATTAGTGTTAAAGGGATCTCCAACCGTCAAGTTGTGTTCATATCAAAGATAAACATTAGAAAATAAGTTAAATGTTAATTAAAACTTCCAAAACAAATTATTAAATAAGATATTAACAAAAAACTTTTAATTTTTAACGCCATTTTGTTTCTCTTTGAAGATATTTGAAGATAATTGAAGATTTTCTTTGAAGGAAAGATCCGGCTCTTTGACTATTTAACATTTTTTTAATCCGGTCTGAATAATGCGTTTTTGTATTTAATATTTGACGTCAATAAAAAAAGTTTCTTTTAAAAAACCTAAATCAAGTTAAACATGTTTAGGGTTTCTCTTTTGCAGTTAAGCGTAAATATAAGATTTAATTTTTTAATATCAATATAATAAATATTTTAGATCATTTTAAAAACGGTATTTTGAATTATAAATATGAATTAATATAATAAAATATAAATTATAAATTAATAAGTATAAATTAATATAATAAAATATAAATTCAATCACAAAAATAAGATTTATTTTTGTGATTTAGTGATAAATAGTGCAAATAAATAGCAGAATGTTAAAGAAAACACTTTGCTGTATTTTTTAATAAAAGTAATAAGTTCGCTTCGATTAATTACTATTTTTACTACACTAGTTTGTTTTAATTTAAATACTTTACAATACGTTAAACAAAAAACAAAAACATGCTACAGTGAACGTTTTTTATAACCATCGCAGACTATTTTTAAAGAGGAAAACCCAAACTGATTATTTAAAACTGAACTGTTTAAATAACTCTGCGTTGATAGAAATGATCTATTATTGAAACCAGATGTCTTTTTTAATGGAAAAAACTTGCAAGTTTGAGAGAAATTAGGCTCTCAACCGAAAGTATAATGGCAAAACAGCCAATGGTTTTGTTAATATCTCATTCAATAATTTGTTTTGGAAGGTTTAATTAACATTTAACTTATTTTCCAGTGTTTATCTTTGATATGAACACAACTTGTCTCAACGCTTGGCGATCCTTTAAAAAAAAAATATGTCAAAAAACATATCTTTTCATAAACTTGTTTTATAAAAGTTACTAAAAAAAAGTTTTGGCATAATGTAAATAGCCTAATGTAGGTTAAATCGCTATTTGGTACGAAAAAACGTAATGATTTGATCGAAATAATTTAAACCAGTAGCACTTTTTTTATAGTAGTTTTATAGTAGTATAGAAAAATAAAATGTCATCAAAAATTTACAAGTTATGAGATAAATGCTTCCAGTGTTGTCGACTCTGTTATTTTCAGTTTTAAGTACTTAAGGCGCTAAAAACTCATCACATTTTCACATGAGATGTATTTGGTGCATGCCTAGCCTAACCATTCATAAAATATTTAGTTTTGATAGTTTGTGCATACAAGTACACTAAAAAGCTTCATTCAAAAGATGTTTAAAAGAAGCAAATACCATTGGTTAAAAGAGATTTTAACAAATGAGAAAATAAATGAAGATAAACCTGAAAAAATTAAACCATAAAAACAGTATTTGATTATCCTGATAGGTCAACAGCAGCTGTTCCACTGTGGAAATAGTATTTTAATACAAAAAAAGTATAAATTTATTAATTTTTTTTTATTGTCAATATGTTATCTTAGCACTCTAGATGTAACAAAGTTTAAAGTTTGAGGTGCATCTAATACATTTTATTGTATATACTCTCTTGTTTAAAGAAACATTACCTTTAAAAAATACTTATCCTTGACTATGCTACTTTTTGGCTTTCAGAGGGTTGTTGTCTGGCATATTTTTATTATTTAATATAATTATTAAATTTAAGGTTATTAATTAAATTGTTTTGTGGCATATTTTTATTTAGTATAATTTTTACTTAATTTTGATAATATTGATTTTTTAGTTTATAAACCATAACTCACTTTAAAAAATAAAAGTCTTAAATGTCCTTAAATAGCCTTAAGAAAAAGTAATGTTTGACTGCTTTCCTTAATTTCTCCTTGTTTGATTATTTTTTTATTATCTAGGAAATTTTATTAAGGTGAATGGACTATACTTTATAATAAAGAAGAAAGTATATAGCTTTTTCATAATTTGCAAACCTAGATTTTTATTGTGTATGTTTATATATATATATATATATATATATATATATATATATATATATATATATATATATATATATATATATATATATATATATATATATATATATATACACACATACATACATATATATAATTTCTCTTTTTATATTTAAAATTTATTAACAAAAAATAAGGTTCTGTTTTTAATGTAATCGTTTTCTTCCTTACTTTTTTTTGCAAAATATTGTTGTTTTCGACCAAATCTCTTTAAATATTAGGAAAATATCTCCTTAAAATACTTACTTTTAGCCTAAATTTTAAAATTGGGAACCATGTTTTTGCAAGTTTTATTATATTTGTTGCTGAAAAAAGTTTCAAAAACAAATGAAGCAAAACTAGTATACTAGGAAATTTAAATAAACTTGAAAAAAAAAAATAATTTCAATAATTTCTGTACAGTTTTTATTTTTGTTTTTTTTAGAGTGGTCATTATTTTTAGTGACAAAATTTGGTAAGCAAAAAAAAAGTATTAAACAATAAAATAAATGATCTTCCTATATTTTATTTAATTTTTTTCAAAAAGAGTAAAGCAAAATATAAATTTCCACATTTTTGTAAAATATATTTGTATAATTTTGGTGTAACAAGTATATATTGACCCTATAAAAAAACGTTTGTGTAATGTATGCGTATTTTATGTATTATGTTTTGTATTATATGATTATATTTATTTATTCCTAAGTATATGCCCATTAGTTCATTTGGACAAGACATTGTCTTCTTGCACAGAATGTCTGGTTGGATTCCCACAACTGTCCATATTCTTTTTATTTTTATTTTAAATACTGATGGTCATATGTCTGCTTTATGGTCATATGTCTATTTTAAATACTGATGGTCATATGTCCAATCTCTTTTCTTATTTGTATATAAAAAATCTTTTTGTTGCATGTTTCTAAATGATACACATCTCATCACATTCAGATTTATTATACCATTAAAGCCTTTCAGTGTGTTTTCTAAGTAAAGCGTACACACACATATACATAGTTTTTAAGCTTCAATTAGGCCATGCCGTCTACACGTAGCCTTAATTGTTTCATATTTCCTTTATTTTCCTGTGTGTTTTTTATATTTAATGTTTTAGCGAATTTCTTTTTAACATTTGGCCTGAGTGTAAAGAAACAAAAATTTCTACAAGTTTAAAAAGTCTACACCTTATTCAAATAAGATAAACGTGCATATAATTAGGAAAAAATAAATAAAATTATTTAACACAAAAAGTTATACATAAAAGTATACAGCTTTATTGCATAGATGTTTTCGTAAAAAGACAATATATACTTGTTACATTAATGTTATACAAATATATTTTACAAACGCATTGCAATTTATACTCCCGCTTCCCTTTTTAAAAAAATAAAATCATTCTTTTAAACATAGACTCAAAGTGATTTTTTTGTTGTTGTTGTTGCTAAAAATAACCTTTAAAAAAACAAATATTAAAAACAGTACCCAAATTATTTGAACTAGTAGTTTTTTTGTTTTTTAATTTCTTTTTATTTCTTAGTTTGTTAGTTTTGCTTTTTTTGTTTTTTAACTTAGTTTTTTCTGCAATGATTAATATTATAAAACTTGTAAACCTAATTTTCATAAAAGGCAAAAAAGTGAAAAGGGGTTTAAAAGTTTAAAAATGCAAACTCTAGTTATAAATTTATCTTTTTTTATATAAATATATAAAAACCAATTAACTACATAAAAAAGGGCTTTTGATTTATAAACACTACATAGAAAAAGGGGAAAGGGAGATAAATCATAAAATGTCACTTAACAACAGAAGCAATTTAAAATTGGTGCAGTTTAAACTTTTTTGAAAAGTACAATTTCAAGCCTTGTATGATTAATTGAGTGCTTATTTTTTGAGGGGATTTTTGAATTTTAAACTTTTATTCTTAATACTTGATAATATTATTTGAATGCCATTTATAACTCATTGTCAACATTTTATGACTCGTCTACTTTTTCCTTTTGCACATAGAATTATATATGTAATTAGTTGGAGTTTAGACAGTTGCTGATAAAAACAAGCTTAATGTAACTTCATATAATAATGCTGATTTTTTTTTTCAAATAATGCTTTTTTGTATTTTAAGCCTCGAAACCACTCGAAATCTGAATCAAGGTCTCCATCAAAATCTAGGTCAAAATCTAGATCTCGAACACGTAGTAGATCTCGTGCTAAGTCACGCTCCAGAAGCTATTCTCCTCGTCGGTCTCGCTCAAAGACCCCAAATCGCAGAAGATCATATTCTAGATCAAATTCTCGTAGCAGATCAAGATCTCGAAGAAGAAGCAGGTTTGTTTTAGTTTTCAAAATTTTAACAAATAAAAAGTTTTTTACAACAAAAAGTTTTTAACAAATAAAAAGTTTTTTAACTAATTTGTTATAAAACTGATAAAGCTTTGCAGACTTTTTGACAGTTTTTGACTAACAGATAAAAAGGTAATAGTTAATTTAGATTAAATTTTGCAAATTATGCATATTATGAGGTAGTAATCAGGGGTATCTTGAAAATCATTTAGATAAGCTATTAAGCTTTGTCTTTGCTCTAAACCCTGTCATTTTCTATCCTACTCAACCTAAAATAAAATAATCTGAATTTTAGAAAAATAACAATCCTAACATTTAAATTAATTTAAGATACTATTTGGAACCCTCCATTTCTAATGAGCGATACCCCTGATTGTTATTATTTGGGCTTATTATGTTTAATAATTAAAATCGTAGAAATCGATCTAGAAGCAGGTCGCCACTATCTCATCGAAAGCGTCACATTGGCAACAGGGTTAGTGTTTTTAAATTTTAGAGTTAACAGTTTATTTAACATTTTTATACAACAGTTCACAATGTTGGTCTCCAATTTTAAATAAATTGTATTAGTTTAAATAAATTATTTCAGTTATAAAATTGGATATATTTTTTTAAAGGAAGCTCCTCCTCCAGGGAAATGTCTAGGAGTGTTTGGCTTGAGTTTGTACACAACAGATAGAGAAGTTCGAGAAGCATTTGAAAGATATGGGCGTGTTGTTGATTGCAATGTTGTGCACGATCATAATGTAATTAGTTTTACAAATAGTAGATATAATTTTATCTTTTCATTATAAATAATTTTTTTTTTTTAATGTTTTTAGACCGGTCGATCTAGAGGATTTGCTTTTTTAAATATGTCATCTATTTCAGAAGCTGAGGATGTAAGTTAATGTTTTTTATATTAACATAACTCTTATTTTGTGTTCTTAAACATATGTTTTATAACAGGCTAAAGAAAGAATGAATGGCGCTGAACTTGATGGAAGACGTATTCGTGTTGACTTTTCTATTACTCAGCGAGCTCATACTCCTACACCCGGAGTATATATGGGAAGACCAACCCAGTAAGATTTTATGTAAACTATTCATAGACTTAATAGACTAAAAGCATGTTTAAACATCATTCTTTAACAATTCTAAATTGTTCAAATTTTTATGAATTACTATAAAAAAAGATATTAGTTGATTAGAATAAGATTTTGAATAACCAAATATCAATGGCATAATTTAAAATGTTTAGTAATATAAAAAGTTCTTATCAAAATTTGAGAGTTTTTTATTTTTATTGATTATTAGATAATCCTATTTTCAATCAATTTTAAATTATGTTTATTATAACTAGAAGCAAATCATTATGTATATTAAAATCACCATCTAGTATTTAAAATGCACAACACTTTGATTTAAATTTAATTGTTTAATTTTTTTGTCTAATGATTTTTAGGTCATCTCGTTATCGAGGAAGTAATTTCCGTGGTTATAGACGAAGATCATATTCTCGTTCTAGATCTCGATCAAGATCTCCATATTGTAAGATTTAGTTTTAGTAATTTATTCTAGTCTCGGTTATTTGTAATTTAGTTATTTTAAATTACGTAAATATATTAAGTTTATATGTAGTATATTAGTATAGTTGAGGTTTAAATATTTAAAGTTTTATTGTGAATTAAGTTAAATTATTATTGAATACAATTTTTTAGATCGTTAAAGTAGCAACTGAACAAAAGAAAGAAGTTCTCATCTGGCATTGATTGATCAAGTTTCTTTGGACTTAGGAGACAACAATCAGTTCCTTAGAATATTGTAGCACATTCTTTGATTTGTTTTAACAGTGTACATAATGTATGGTCATAACAACCTCATAATAGAGTTTCTAATGATTCATGGAGTCTTGTTTGCGTCTTTATCTTCAAAGGGAGTTCTGAAAATCCTTTTTTAATAAATTAAAATTGCTTCCATTATCTTTCAGTTTGAAGGAAATGTAAATGGAGAAGTATAAGAATTCGAGAAGATAGAAGATTTCATAGGTTTTTATTAGATTAAGAAGTTTGTTTTGGCTGCAAGCCGTGTGAAAAAGGTTCAAATGAGAATGAATTAATTAATAAAATATTAAAAGTAAGTGAGTGTGTCCATAACGTTATTTGGTTGTTATTGATTTTCTGTTTTTTTTTAACGCTTTTAATGTTTAATGGGTTTCTGTAGGTTAAAATTTTTAAAGATCGTTAATTGGAAAATTTACTCATAATCTTTTTATTTGTATAAAGTTGTTTGTTTTTTTAATATTGGGTCGTTTATTTCCTTCCCCAAAAGTGATCGTAGTTAAACAGTTTTTAGGTTTTTTTTTCTATCCTCTCCCATTGTTTATTTCAGTTCTTGGAAGAAAGAAGTAATTTAGCAAGCCGCAAGGTTGCGAGAAAATAAGAAATAAGTCAATAAGAAGATTGCACCATAATCTTTCTGGTATTCATAGTGGAAGAAGGAAGTAAATTTATGAAGCCGCATGCTTCAGAGAATTGAAACTGTTAATTAGGTTGAACTATTCCACAAAATTTTTCTTTTTTATATATAGGCTAATAAAACATTCCCACGTACCAGTCAGAAACCCTCGATTTTATCGTTATACATGCAGTTTGTTTTGCATTGAGATTGTGAATATAGGCTTGGATTCATATTTTTAATAATAAATACTAAATTTTCATTTTCTGTTCTTTTTTGGTAAAACAAATATAATTCTCATTTAGGCCAGTTTTGCAATTTCAAGCTATAGAAACCAGTTATGATAAAAATTAAAGATTGATAAAGTATTATTTTTCGCAGCAGTTTTGTGACGTCAGCTAAATTTTATGTTGATTTAAGGTGGTGTATGGTTTCAGGCAATCGCTTAATTTTTAAAATAATATTTAGCTGTTTCCATGGATTTTTTATTTCTTACTGATATCGAAGCTGAGATAATCAATTTTATTGATTGTCACTTATATAATGAATGTCTTAATGAATAATATATTCAATATAATAGTTACTTATTTTCAACTTTCCTGCCATAGTTTTTAAAAATAACGCTTCTAATTTTGGCTTCAAAATTATAAACGCTTTATATGGCTTGATGCTTTGAATAAGAATCTGGTAATAACGGAATTTTTTTTTTGGTCGGTGGTTTTCGACAAACTTAAACAAAGATTTTTTGAAGTGTGTTGCCTGTGCGTAGACACGGGAGGGGTTACTAAGAAACCTTCATATTGGTTTGTTGAAGGGCGGGTTTTTCCTTTTATTAACAAAAACATGTTGAGTTAACTAATGGTTTTCCTGTAGTTAATTCCTTAAAAAGTTTTGCGTTAGGAAAGGTGACTATTTGATTTTGTATGCAATGATGCTTGCGTACGCGGAGAAAGGCTGTTAAATAGTGTTTGATGTCGTAAATGTGAAAAAGTTACTGGTTTTTAATAGCTAAAAAGTAATGTATATATAAATTGTATTAAAAACGAATTGCAAATATATTAAAGTAGTGTAATTAATATAATTAAATTATTAAAAGAAGTAAATATGCAACGTATGGAAACAAAGATAAAGACACTAGGCTGTCTTGTTTAAAGAAATAAGGTTGAAATTTGATCTCTTAAATTTTTCGCTTTAACGACCCGCCACCGTTAAAAGTATTCAGATAGATACAAGAGGGGAACCCGAAACAGTGGTTTTTCTAGGTACTTGCGTTATAGAAGTCTAAAGGTAAGTAAATTTTCAAATTGCACTTATAATAAGAGATGTCACGAGAAGCAATTTTACCGAATATTCGGTGACAATTGGTAATTTTGAAGGTTCCGACCTGCTTCATTGAAGTGGATATGTCAGGTTTGCAATATCAGTTTTTGCTGTCTAATGACATCTGTAAATATAACGAAGTGTAACTACGTCTGTCCGTCAAAATCTGTTAACACACTAAAATATTTTTTTTTTTTTTTTTTTTTTACATTTTAAGTTTACATTTGTCGTAATACAATACTTTAACAAATACAAACAAGGTTTCTGAAAGAAGATCGTACTGATCTTATCATCAGAACCTTTTACAAGCATTTAGCATAATTATTTACAATGTATATAATCTATTTATAAAATAAACAGTAAAAGTAAATAGTAAAACAAAAAGATAAAAAGTAAAACAAAAAGAGTCGTTACATATAAAAAGTAAAACAAAAAGAAAAGTAAAACAAAAAGAGTCGTTACATATAACGTATTTTACAATTAACATAAAACGTATTTTACAATTAAAAAGTTCTAAATAAAGGTACATAATTACAATTAGAAGAACCTTATTATGTCATCGGAAAATAAAATTAAATTTTTGAGTTTATGTTTAAAAATTGGAAAAGTGTAAAATATATTAAAGTTTGGCAAAACAACTTCATTCCAAAGATATGGCGCACGATAAGCAATACCATACTGGTTAAACTTTGTTCGACAAAAAGGTTTATGCAAAAATTTATTATTTCTAAGAGTATATTTATTTATTGGTTTTTCACAAATATAATAACATCTGTTCAACATCTGAAATTCGTTGATTTCTAATAACATCTGTATAAAAACTATATGATTACTACAGATGTTGCTACATCTTTTCATTTATCTAAGTATAATAACATCTGTGCAACTATATATAGAAATTTTACAGATGTAGTTACATCAAATACCCTCCACCACCACTTTTTTTCTTAAAGCACTTTTTTTTTAAGAAAAAATTCTGGATTTTTGAGAACTTTTTTAGAAAATAACTTTTGTACCCCCTCCACCTTAGCACACTCCGAAACATTCTTTTCTTTTTTTGTGAAACTCACAAAAAAAGAAAAGAATGTGAAATCAGGTCATAAAAGGTAGATAAATTAAATTAATCAATTAACCTGTAAAAGAATGAAAGCAAACTACAGCAATTACAAAAGATCTACCCCAATGATCACCTACTTTTCTTACATTAATAATACGTTTGTTATTTTAATTTAAAAATAGTAAAATGTTTGATAGCATGTAAAGTAATGACAAATATATCAGTTCAGGACTCCAAATTGCAACACTTTTGTGAGATAAAGCTGCATGATAACAGTGAGCCATTAATTGAGTATCTGCTTCTTCATGATTACCTTTAAGAGAGTTTTTTTCACTACCACATTAACTGATAACATTTATCTTAATTTGTTAAATAAACACTCTTAATTGAGAAATAAGATGTATCCAGTAAACTCCAATGAGCAAACAAAAAATTTATTAACTCTTCTTTATTTTTGCCATTTGAAAGGATCTCCTTTCATTGATAGGTATATGCTGTAGTTTATTTAATATACGAATAATCGGAGTTCCATGAGTAATTCTTTTCACTCGTTCTAAACTTTTTATACTATGATTAATCTACAGCTATACTCGTTCTATACTTTTTATACTATGATTATAACAGCTGGACAGAGTAATAATTTCTTTTAATGTATATTTAGCTAACTCAGCAAACATTTTGATTCTAATTTGCATTGTTTGTAACAGTGCCGTTACGTCCACTAGTAAAGCTCCACTTTTAACAATTGGCAACACCAGTGAATCTTTAATAGACTCTTTAATAATTTTTTACAAATTACTTTTTGTTCTTTTTCCTAAAGTTCTATCTGTGGTAGCAAAAGGTGAGGGGTGAGGTTGTAGAGGATACTATAAAACTTCCTTTATCTCAATATCTCTACTTTTTGCTAGCAAGATTAACGTAGCAAACAAATTTGTGGTGTTCTTTATTTCCAACATTTCCCCTTTTTTATTTTTAGTATGCACTTTATTTATGTTGGAAAATGTATAGAACATTGTTTTTTTAATTGGAGAAAATATGTCTGGCTCTTTGCAAAGAATATTTTTGTCAATAAAACTCTCAGTTTTTTGTTTCCCTATATCTCAAAGACTTTCTATAAAATATTTCTTAAAGTATTTTCTGTGGCAAGTTGCCCACTTGCTAACTGTAGAAGTTCCTTTCTGTCATCATCAAAAGGGTTTACGATTGTACTAATAGTCTCCAGAATTAATGTAACATCCTCTTCATTCTTTTTAATTCTCCAATCATCCAAGTCTTTTCTATAACTAAATATCATATTTAAAAATATACGTTTGGAACATTCTTTTAAAAAAATTTAAAAACCTATTTAAAATAATAGATTAAAACTTTTCAAAATTTTAGAATGTAAAGCTATATCTATTCAATCAATTATGAATTTTCATAAATAATTAAAGGATCATTGTAATTGAAGATACTCCTGTGAATTTCTCAGCTGCTTCAGTTAACGAAGCTCTCTCCACCTGGGTTAACATCCATCTATTAACAGCTCCTGGTTTATGTGTCATACCTACAATACCATCTGTAACTTTAATACTCCTGCTAAAAGTTTGTTCTATAGTTTGGTCACATGCAATATCTGCAAACACTAGACGACTGATCTTACAGTTCTTACAAGAATCATATAGGATGAGTTGCACAAGTCCCTGCAGGACCGACAAGAATCTTTTCAAAGATCTTGTAGGATTTGAAGGAATTTTTATAGGATAATATAAGATCTACAAGAATATTTTAAAAGATCTTGCAGGATTAACAGGATTCTTATCGGATGCTAAAGGAAAATTTTAGATTCGTATATATACGGCCGTAGCCCTTCCCCTTAATCCAGAACTGGTTCCGATAGGAACCAGTGCTTGATTAAAAAGAAGGGAACTAGGACCCTGAAATTTCGGGGTTCCTGAATTTTTAGTGTTTTAGTCATTTTTATGCTGCGGCACGAAATTTCTAGTGTTTTAGTCATTTTTATGCTGTGGCACGTTAAAAAGGACTCCAGGCCCCGAAAAGTCTTAATCTGCCAAATATAGGAACCAT